AGACAAACTTCACATGAGGGAGACATACATGTGAAGACATCAAAAGATAAAGACAAATGCTGGATAACAGGAATGACTCTGCTGACTCCTGATCTTCTTATCATCACTGACTACTATAACAATGCTGTAAAGATGGTGGATATCAGCAGTCAATCTGTGTCTGATCAACTACAACTAGATGATAGACCATGGGATATCACCACAGTAACCAGTACTGAACTTGCTGTCACACTTTCTTACATACAGACAATACAATTTATATCAATCTTATCAAACAAACTCATAAAGAAGCACACTATGAAGGTTGGTGGACAATGCCGTGGTATAAGCTGTTATCAAGGTAAACTTGTTGTGTCATTCATTAATCCAGCAAAACTTCAGATCCTTGACCTGAATGGCGCAATACAAACAACAATTGATGGAAAAAATATTTTCAAAGATCCATTGTATATCACATGTAACAGAAGTTCTATCTATGTATCTGACAGGGACATGAAGACAGTGACAGGTGTAAACTGGCAGGGTGATGTGATAGGTAGTTATAGTGGTATGAAAATGCCTTGGGGAATGTCACTGTCAGATGATGGTACTGTCTTTGTGTGTGACTGGGGGAGAATAGAAGAGATATCAGGAGATTGTTCTACAGGAAATGTGGTGTTGAAGAATTTGAAAAGAACATGTGCTGTATGCTGGTGTGAGGAAACAAAGAAGCTGTATTACAGTGCTAGGCAAAATGATGAGAAAAGTGACAACTTTCTTCACATCTATAAACTATCATAAACATGGGCAAAATGTTAAGATATTTTCACTTTATCTACACACATACTATATATGCTTACATGGGCACTTAAACCCAATATAGCAATACTTTTCTATGAAGTGTTATTAAAATAAGAATAAATGTATGTAATCAGATTTAGGCTTATTTACTAAGGCAATGTTTAATTACTGTGTACCCCAAAGTCCCCATATTAAAGTGCTTTTTCACAAAAATTTGTTGTTGTTTTTATTGCCGACTCTAATAAATCAAAATCAAAAGGCTCGGGTACCATCCACAAATAACCAGAAAAAGACAATGTGTTTGTTAAGGACTCCTTGTAGTCATATACCACTGAAAATCAACATAATAGTGAATACACCTTACCAGCTTTTCTGGATAACTAACCAGTAATAACCAATTTCTATGCAAGTGATTAACTACTAAATCCTATGTTATAACTGAATCAGTGGTACAAGAAATATGACCATTAGACTCAATTTGAATGATCACTTGTCATGGAGAATCAGTGGTGGGAGGAATATGACCATTAGCCTCAATTTGAGTATTCACTTGTCATGGAGAAATTACTCCTCCCCTTGGAGCTAAGTGAGCAGACAACACTTAACCTACTTTATATGTAAAATGGACTTTTCCAGCTTCCATTTTTGGAACTGTTCATTATCAACTATAGGGAAATAATATATGTAATAAAATATGTAAGGTGACTGTACTTGATCAATCCACTGTCTTGTAACAACTCTCTGCTTAAATTGAGTGGAATGTCTTCACTATCAACAACTCCTGTTGGTATAAAGAAATTATATTAAACAAATTTACAAAATATTAATAATAAATTAAACAAGAGCCGGTTGAACCGGGTGATGCTCCCCGAATAGGTTTTGGACACAGGAAGGTATACCTCTTGTAGTGTCAGAGTTATGTCACAGACAATAGATAATTGTAGATAAATATGTTGTATTTGTAATACAAATGCAAGCAATAAACAATGTAACTATGTGCAATGTAAAACATGAATAATGTAGGAGGAATTGCCACAGAAGAAGTGTTCACTGTATATTTTGTATAAGGAAAAAATGTATTCTGTATAAGGAAAAAAAACAAAGGGCCATAATTAGGTCAAAAATTATCCAATCACAAAACCTCTACAATATGCGCCAGGGCACATGATGACAAAGCTTCTGTGAAAGTTTGAACAAAATCTGTTGAGAAATGTAGGACTAGTTCAGCACAGAAGAATTTGTTCACTATATATTGATAATTCTGTATAAGGAAAAAAAACAAAGGGGCATAATTAGGTCAAATATTATCCAATCACAAAACCCTAACAATATGCGCCAGGGCACTTGATAACAAAGCTTCTGTGAAAGTTTGAACAAAATCTGTTGAGAAATGTAGGACTAGTTCAGCACAGAAGAATTTGTTCACTATATATTCTGTATAAGGAAAAAAACAAAGGGCCATAATTACATCAAATATTATCCAATCACAAAACCCCGACAATATGTGCCAGGGCACTTAATAACAAAGCTTCTGTGAAAGTTTGGTCAAAATCCGTTGAGAAATGTAGGAGGAGTTGCGCACAGAAGAAATTGTTCACTATATATTCTATATAAGGAAAAAAAACAAAGGGCCATAATTAAGTCAAATATTATCCAATGGCAAAACCCGGACAATAAGTGCCATGGCACTTGATGACAAAGCTTTTGTAAAAGTTTGGTCAAAATCCGTTGAGAAATGTAGGAGGAGTTGCGCACAGAAGAAATTGTTCACTATATATTCTATATAAGGAAAAAAAACAAAGGGCCATAATAAGGTCAAATATTATCCAATGGCAAAACCCGGACAATATGTGCCAGGGCACTTGATGACAAAGCTTCTGTAAATGTTCGGTCAAAATCCGTAGAAAAATATAGGAGGAGTTGCGCACAGAAGAAATTGTTCACTATATAATATTCTATATAAGAAAAAACAACAAAGGGCCATAATTAGGTCAAATATTATCCAATCGCAAAACCCCGACAATATGTGCCAGGGCACTTGATGACAAAGCTTCTGTGAAAGTTTGGTCAAAAAATCTGTTGAGAAATGATGGAGGAGTTGCGCACAGAAGAAATTGTTCACTATATATTCTATATAAGAAAAAACAACAAAGGGCCATAATTAGGTCAAATATTATCCAATGGCAAAACCCCGACAATATGCGCCAGGGCAATTGATGACAAAGCTTCTGTGAAAGTTTGGTCAAAATCTGTTGAGAAATGTAGGAGGAGTTGCGCACAGAAGAAATTGTTAACGCCCGCCCGCCCGCCCATCCGCCCGCCGACATACCTCAATCTAATAACCAGTTTTTTCCTTCGGAAAACCTGGTTAAAAAAGATGTCATTTATAAATTTTGACTTTTATGTCATGCTGACTGTCTTAAGAGACCGTTTCATTAAGGGACCGTTTTTGGTGTTTCCCTTGCCCGGTCGCTTAATACATGTTTGACTGTAGTTGTAAAATCCGACTTCAAATAATGAAGTTATGGGCCGGACACGATTTTCCTGCAAGGTCATGCTGTAACCTTGACCTTCAAGGTAGCGACTCAAATGGTGCATGCGACATGTGGATTCAATATGGTTATCATCTCTGTGAAATAGTTGTTAAAGCCGACTTCAAGTAAGGAGGTTATGGGCCGGACAGGATTTTGCTGCAAGGTGATTCTGTGACCTTGACCTTCAAGGTAGAGATCCAAATGTTGCACGCGACACATTGTCTCAATATGGTGATCATTTCTGTGAAATAGTTTTAAAATCCGACTGCAAATAACGAAGTTATGGACCGGACAGGATTTTGCTGCAAGGTCATGCTGTGACCTTGACCTTCAAGGAAGCGACCCAAATGTTGCATGCAACTCATTGTCTCAATATTGTGATCATTTCTGTGAAATAGTTTTAAAATCCGACTTCAAATAACAAAGTTATGGGCCTGACACGAATTCGTACGTACATACGGACTGACAGACTGACGGACAACCGGACGACTATATGCTCCCTCGAAATTTGTTGGGGAGCATAAAAATCTAAATTTGATTGACCGGACACAATTTTGCTGCAAGGTCATGCTGTGACCTTGACCTTCAAGGTGGCGACCCAAATTTGTGTGTGACACTTGGTCTCAATATGGTGATCATTTCTGTGACATAGTTTTAAAATCCGACTTAAAATAACAAAGTTATGGGCCGGACACGATTTTCCTGCAAGGTCATGCTGTGACCTTAAAGGTAGTGACCCAAATGTTGCGCGCGACATGTGGTCTTAATATGGTGATCATTTATGTGAAATAGTTTTAAAATACGACTTCAAATAACAAAGTTATGGGCCGGACACGATTTTGCTGCAAGGTGATGCTGTGACCTTGACCTTCAAGGTAGCGACCCAAATGTTGCGCACGACACGTGGTCTCAATATGGTGATCATTTCTGTGAAATAGTTTTAAAATCCGACTTCAAATAACAAAGTTATGGGCCTGACACGAATTCGTACGTACATACGGACTGACAGACAACCGGACGACTATATGCTCCCTCGAAATTTTTTGGGGAGCATAAAAATCTAAATTTGATGTCAACAGTCTGATTTTTTAAAAAATTATTTTATTGTAGGGATGGCAACGAGTACTCGGTTAACCGAGTACTCGATCGAACGTCCGAATATCGGTTAACAAAATTGATATTCGATTACTCGAAAAAAAAAAAAATTCTATTTATTTTAGATTTAATGAGATTGGTGTCCAATTAGTTTAGAAATTCGGAGATATACATGTATCTTCATAAATACCTGTAAAATGCAATAAAAACATCCTTGAAGAGGTGCGAAAATTATATCGTAAACATAACGAGTGATCAACAGTTTGACACGCGCATGGGATTGAACACCTGTGTCGCTTACATCATTCGGCCTCTTATGATATTTAATGACCTTTAATTGTGTAACAGTTTGTAGGCGAAACTTGTTTTAAGGTAACCGTTTTGAAAACAGTAAAGGGCCGGATTGTTATTATGAATGTTAGATTAAAGGTTGTAATTAGACCCAATTATACGTTGTTTTTCTTTACTCAATAAAGGAGAGTAACTCCCTTTTCTTCCTTAAGCATATAAATCCAGAAATATCATTTCTTTTTTATATCTTGATAAAGTTTTTGCTTAGAATAAGATATTAAAATTTCCATAAGAGTCAAAATGCCGCCTGCAAAATCTAATGCCTGGAAATATTTCAAACGCTGTGCTGATAGCAAGACTGTTAAATGTACATTATGTAGCTGTGAAATGACGTATACTGGTGGTACTACAAACATGCTAAATCATTTACGCTTAAAGCATCCTTCTGAAAACAAAATCTCTGACACACAAAAACAACACTCAATGGACATATTTGTGAACACGAAAAATAAAATAACTGAAACGCAAAGTGAAAAAATCACGCAGGCTATAGCAAACATGATTGTAAAGGACTATATACCTTTAAGTATAGTAGAAAGTGAAGGATTTCTTAATCTGATGCAGATAGTAGTGCCAGAGTACAAAGTGCCGAGTAGAAACACAGTAAAATCGCGTATTGAAAAGAGATACGATGACGAAAGAGAGTCTCTTGTCAAAAACCTAGAAAGTGTTCAATCAGTTTCGCTCACCACTGATACATGGACATCTAATGCTACTGACAGTTACATGACTATTACTGAACATCATCTTACTGATGACTGGGTGATGGAATCTAACGTGTTGATGACTCGCGAAATGCAAGAGAGACACACTGGTGAAAATCTCGCAAATAAACTGAAGGATTGTGTATCTGAGTTCGGATTAGAAAACAAAATTGGGTCAATTGTACATGATAACGCGAGAAATATGCAAAGTGCTAGTGAAAAGTGCGAGGATTGGGGTGATGTAGGCTGCTTTGGACATACGCTTCAGTTGTGCGTAAAACCCGCACTTGAATTACCAAATGTAAGCAAAATAGTGGCTAAAAGTAGAAAACTCGTTGGACACTTTAAACATTCCACGACCTTAACAGCAGAGATGAGAAATAGACAGAAAGTGTTCAAAGTGCCTGAACATGAACTTATTCAAGATGTGCCAACGAGATGGAACTCAACGCATCTCATGTTAGAGAGACTGTGTGAACAAAGACGTGTTATCACGGATATTATGTTAGACGATAAGTTCACTAAGAAAAGTGATAGCAATTTGTTACTCAAAGATAACGAGTAGGATAATATCTTGGATCTCAAAGAAGTGTTGAAGGACTTTACCTCGGTAACCACTTACATTTCAACAGAGACAAATGTCTGTTGTTCTTACATTTATCCAATCCTTTGTGGACTTATGAATACCAGTGTGAACGTAAATGACAGTGATTCGCAGTTAGTGCAAAAAGTAAAGCAAGCTATCGTGGGGGAATTTGAAATACGTTATCAGCCAAAATCTACCGAGATTTTTTATTCTAAAGCCGCACTTTCCACTATTCTTGACCCGCGTTACAAGCGATTACCATTCTTTAAGAGTGAGCAAAGAAAAATGGCTATTATAGCTCTTGAATCGCCCCTGGATGAAATTCCACTAAAATTACCATTCCCGCGCCCAGAGTGAAAGTGACAGTGTGCCATCATAGCGGCAAAAAAGGAGAGTGCTTTGGATTTTTAATGTGCTATTCACCAGAAAAATGTGACCAAACCGACGATGAAATGGAACAAGCAAATGTGATTCAGAACCACTAAACAGGTGGAAAGAAAATGGAAAGAACTTTCCGAGTGCTAGCGGTGCCCGCAACATCAGTGCCGTCAGAGCGTATCTTTCCTGCTGCTGTGTTACTTGTAAATAAGAAACAGACTGTCATGTGAACTTGTTGACAAGATTATTTTCCTCAATAAAAACAGAGTCAGTGTTGTTAAATATTGACATGAAATACATTTAAAAGAAACTGATGTGTAGACTAAAGTACAGCGTCACGAGTGCTGTAACACGTACGCTTGTATAAACTGTATAAAAGATGATAAGATGAACTCAAAGAAAAGTGTTTAATTTTCGTTGAATAAAGACACTGTATTAAGAGAAAAATACGAGAATATTGTTCTTGAATTGTTAAATTTATAAAACATATATACATGCTGTCATTGACGATCTCTTATGATGTTTATGATGTTTATATTCATTACGTATTTGCTAGATATATTCATTGCCGCCGATCAGGCTATATTATTTCTAGAAGGTAAAATGATATATGAACTGTTACACATGATTTAAACTTGATATGCATTAAATAAAGTTAATAAACATATTATGCTGTTTATTGGTTTTTTTTCTAAGTTACCTCCCTTGCAGTCCTATTTATAGATACGAATTCTGTGAATTGAAATAGAAACCGAAAGTAGCCTGCAGACGGTGTTGATATTGTGTGAGATTGTTGGAAATCATCCGAGTAACCGAGTACTCGATCGGAAAATTGACCGAGTACTCGAGTATTGATTTTGGTACTCGTTGCCATCCCTATTTTATTGTATTCATAAACACACACTAAACATGTACAATTTCAAAATTTTACAAACATATTCATCAAGTGTCCATACAAAAGGGTTTCGCCAAAATTTCAAACAACATTATTGTGGGCCTTCCCCTCAACATATTCAAAATTAAGCTTAAATTATTTTAATGTAGTTCTTACTATAATTATTTTCTTTTTATTATACTGTTTTTCTCAACAAATCTATCCCCCATATGCTTCCATTATGCTTTTCCTTATAGAGTAAAAAGGCATTACAGGTTTATTTTATAAATTCAGTACTATAAATCACATAATATCTTAGTGCAAGTTTGTAAAGTGTACATATGAAAAAGATATACCTTTCATAAATCTGAGCCATTTTGGAAGAATTGTGTTGGACTTGGACATGATCATAACTTTCCTACTGTACAGTTGTAGACTAACTTCTGTCTCACGACTCATGTCAAACAATGCTGAAATTATACATCTTACACTCACAAAATATGTCAAACAATGCTGAAATTATACATCTTACATTCACGACTCATGTCAAACAATGCTGAAATTATGCATCTTACATTCACAAAATATGTCAAACAATGCTGAAATTATGCATCTTACATTCACGACTCATGTCAAACAATGCTGAAATTATGCATCTTACATTCACGACGTCAAACAATGCTGAAATTATGCATCTTACATTCACGACTCATGTCAAACAATGCTGAAATTATACATCTTACACTCACGACTCATGTCAAACAATGTTCAAATTCTATATCTTACACTCACGACTCATGTCAAACAATGCTGAAATTATACATCTTACAATTATGAATCCGAACAATGTCAGGAAACTGTTGCAATGCCAGGTTTACTGCCAATATTACATATAAATATTTGGAAAAAAAAACACAAAAAAAAACAAATGCTGAAAATTATCAAATCACCAAACACAAAACTCCTTTTGGTGACAATAGTTATGTGAAAATTATGAGATGAGAGTTGTGTAGTGCAGCCATTATTCATAAATTTAATTATGACTTTTTCCTACAGAAATCCTGGTTAACTGGTTAATGCTGCTGTTTAAATTAAGAATCAAATTCCAGACACGCAAGTTGTAACTTGATGTATATTTTAGAATTATAAGCCAGTGCTAACCTGCTTCTGTTGTTGTTGTTGTTTTCTATTTTAGAATTTGACAATCAAAATGTATGTCTCTTGATAAAGAGGGACAATTTGATGTTTTGAACAACAATTTACATGTATTTGCTAAAATACTACCATGGTCTGTGGCATGTATTGTAGAGGTAAAGTAAGTAGGTAGGGCTGATTAGTCATGTAAATTAGCCAATGTCTTACATGCATTCTTAACTATTCTCAGTGCTTGAAATAGTGAAACAAGAGCCTGGATAATGTAGGATTTTCTAAGTTAAAAAATGGGCCATAATTCTGTCAAACCACATGTTAGGTGTATGGGCCTTGAACACTTACCTTCTTCTATTAGGCTCTCAAATAAGTATGTGAAGTTTCAGCCCATTTCTTTCAGTACTTTTGGAGATACGAACTTGCATGAAGAAACTTAGCCAAAGTGTGACACTGACACACAATTGAATGAGTACAAAAAGCTCTCACTTTTCTTTTATATATAATTAGCAAAGTAGCATTAATACTTTAAATATTATGCTGTTTTTAATCAAGATATAAGGAACAAATACAGAACCCAGGACTCAAACTTTAAGACCAAGATTAACTCTTATTTTACAAACATACATGTACTTGTAAAATTAAACAGTATTGAAAAATCAAATAAAAATTAAAACTTTTTCCATCAAAATATAAGAATTTCATGGTTGTGAAAGTTAAATGAGACAAAATGTATTATAAAGTATTTTCAAAACCTTTATAACCAAGCTACCTTTACAAATGTTGACATCCCTTAAACTTAAAATAGACTGTCACAATTCAAAGCAGGACAAATCCATAACACAATTTCTAATTTATCACATTATACTCACATGGTTTGTATTTAGGTACGTAGAAAATGGCTCTTATATTGAGCGGGGCATCAGTCTTGTAATGTAGACTGTATCTAGGTATGTCATATGTGTTGGCGATCAGTCTGTAGAACTCTTCATGCATTTCTTCAGTTACGTCCCTTGGTTCTAGCGTCCATAGAGCCTATACAGAGGGGAAAGAGATCATCATTTACTTTTATTATTTTTATGTTTGTTTAGTGTAAAATCAGATATATATGATAAAGGTCATATGGCAACTTTCCTGTTGTACTGTTTTTTGTTGTTGTTTTTTTTCCCCAGTTACACTGCATTTTTTGTTGTTGGGTTTTTTTTTGCACCAATACTGCAAAGGTCATATAGCGTCATTCATGCTTTACTAGTGGAAATTCATGCTTTACTAGTGGAAATTCATGCTTTACTAGTGGAAATTCATGCTTTACTAGTGGAAATTCATGCTTTACTAGTGGAAATTCATGCTTTACTAGTGGAAATTCATGCTTTACTAGTGGAAATTCATGCTTTACTAGTGGAAATTCATGCTTTACTAGTGGAAATCCATGCTTTACTAGTGGAAATTCATGCTTTACTAGTGGAAAATCCATGCTTTACTAGTGGAAATCCATGATTTACTTGTGGAAATTCACGCTTTACTAGTGGAAATTCATGCTTTACTAGTGGAAATTCATGCTTTTCTAGTGGAAATCCATGCTTTACAAGTGGAAATTCACGCTTTACTAGTGGAAATTCACGCTTTACTAGTGGAAATTCATGCTTTACTAGTGGAAATTCATGCTTTTCTAGTGGAAATTTATGCTTTACTAGTAGAACAAGCAATTGTCATAGTATTGCAAGCAATCCATAAGTCCCCTACCAGTTAGAACCCCATCAACATTCTTAAGGGCAATTGGCCATTCACTAATGTTTCAATTTTTCTGTATTTTAAGTAAATTTGTTGGAAAAGTTCTTTAAAAGTGAAACAGTTTTTATGAACAGACAGACAGACTGACTGAAGAACACTCTAAAGTTAATATTTGAAACATCCCTGTTACCAAAATATAACATTTTTAAAAGCAAAATTCTTAAAGAGGAGATAACTCTTGAATTAAAGATGCAATTTCATAAAAAAAATTCAGCTCTTTTTGACTGATCACAAATAATGTTATATTTGCCGTGTTTTAAGCCTATTTGTTGCCAAGGCAACCAATATTTTTTCAAAATAGGGAGAACAGATAAGACATGCACAATCTCAAGACTGCCATCTACCCATATGTCAAGTTTCATAAAAATATTTCCAGTACTTTTTGAGTTATCACTGGATTCAGTATATGTGTCAATTTTGCCATATTTTCAGTCTATGTGTTGCCAAAGCAACCAGAATTTTCAACATAGGAAGAAAAGAAAAAGACGTGCATAATCTCCAGACTGCCATCTACCCATATTACAAGTTTCATAAAAATATTTCTATTACTTTTTGTGTTAACACAGGATCCAGTTTATGTGTAAAATTTGCCATATTTTCAGTCTATTTGTTGCCATAGCAACCAGAATTTTCAACATAGGAAGAAAAGAAAAAGACGTGCATAATCTCCAGACTGCCATCTACCCATATTTCAAGTTTCATAAAAATATTTCCAGTATTTTTTGCGTTATCACTGGATCCAGTTTATGTGTAAAATATGCCATATTTTAAGCCTATTTGTTGCCATAGCAACCAGAATTTTCAACATAGGAAGAAAAGAAAAAGACGTGCATAATCTCCATACTGCCATATATCAAGTTTCATAAAAATATTTTCAGTACTTTTCAAGTTATCGTGGGATCCAGTTTTGTGGACGGACGGACGGACTGACGGACGGACGGACAGACAGACGGACGGAGGGTAAACCTAAAGTCCCCTCCGGTAAACCGGTAGGGGACTAAAAAGACCTCCTCAGGTGCCCACCATGCATTATTTCAGTGTGAACCAGCAACGCTCATTATTATGCTCTCAAACAAGTGTGTAAAGTCATTAAAGGGGCATATTTCTGTTAATGGTTGATAGAGTTACCTCCTGCTATGTACAGGTTGATGCAATGTCAGCCCCATTAATTTCATTATCAAAACATCACTGTAAAATGACATCATATTAGCATGACAGAATGCTTTCCTTACATGAAAAACAGATCAACAAACACATAATTATCCAATACAACACATTTTTTTTTATGCAAGAATAGTGCAAATGCACCTTTTTTTGCATTAACATAAGAAGCCCTAAGGTTTATTAAATCCCTCACCCTGCAGCTTGAGTTATAAATACATTCTCATGCTTCTACAGATGTTAAAAGCATGAAAAAAACGTGCTATTATTTTTAAGAATAATAATATCTGTCATATGTATGCGGTTTGGACCAGAATATCCGTCCCAAGGGGACCCGCCCATTGGGAGGTAACAAGGCTTGCCGAGATACCGCCCATGGGCGGGTCCCCGAGGGAAAGATATTCCTATCCAAACCGCAAACATATGTCAGATATTTTTTCTTGCATATTCTGCCATATTATTTCATATTTAAAATGGTTTACCTCAATATGATATATGTTCATGGAAATGAAAGTCATTTCTTCCATATCTATTTTCTTACAATAGCGTATGATCTTACAACTTAAATAACAACAGTGAAATGACGTCATCATAAGCACATATTTCCCTGCTAAAACAATGCCATTTTAACGTGGCTCATTCATAAAGTGCGCTAAAATGACGTTGTTTGGCACGCGACTTGTCTGGCACCCCCCAGATAAAATTTCCGGCATGGGTAAAACTCACGGAAACGCCAGTCTGCTATGCAAGAAAATGTCCCCTAAATTGACAGAAGAATCTATATTACCTGTACAACATTAACTTTCTTGCCATTAAGGAAGATATCAACTCCAACAAAGTTACTGTACTTTGTTATCACATCTGTAAATACAGAAGAGAAGGCTTCATTAGTACATACATGAAACAAGAGCTGTAAAAGGGTGATTAAACTACAATTAATTTACCTTTGTCACCAGTACTGTATATAGCCAGGCTAGCCTGCACATTTAAATAGTCTGACCTGGCTCTATACTGCTGATGGCTCAATTTTTGCATATTGATACTGAAATTGATAAAAGTATATACATGTACGATTGAGGAGACACAAAACCTTAAACTAAAATGTAAAAGAAATTTTATAAGTTTTTGAAAATGTTTAAAGCAGCACACCTCCAGATTCATGTTAATTTTCTTGAAAATTTGAAAATGTATTTAACAGTATATTATTGTAAAGTTACCAAAAGAATGCAATTTAAACATTATCAATGGCACTTACAACCTAGGTAAATTACTATATTATTATGTGTTTTGTTCTGTCATAAGATTATCACAATTTGTTTTCTGTCATGTGATCACTGATCAGCAAAGCGTGTTCTGTCATGTGATCTGCAATGTGTGTTCTGTCATGTGATCTGCAATGTGTGTTCTGTCATGTGATCTGCAATGTGTGTTCTGTCATGTGATCTGCAATGTGTGTTCTGTCATGTGATCTACAATTTGTGTTCTGTCATGTGATCTACAATTTGTGTTCTGTCATGTGATCTACAATTTGTGTTCTGTCATATGATCTACAATTTGTGTTCTGTCATGTGATCTACAATTTGTGTTCTGTCATGTGATCTACAATGTGTGTTCTGTCATGTGATCTGCAATTTGTGTTCTGTCATGTTATCTGCAATTTGTGTTCTGTCATGTGATCTACAATGTGTGTTCTGTCATGTGATCTGCAATGCGTGTTCTGTCATGTGATCTGCAATGTGTGTTCTGTCATGTGATCTGCAATGTGTGTTTAAATGTGTTTGTTCTGTTTTGTGTTTAAATTTGTTTAATGTGTGGATTTTTTTTGTCATGTGATCAACAAAATGTGTTTAAATGTCTTTGCTCTATCATGTGATCAGCAAAATGTGTTCAAATATTGTGTTCATTATGCCTTGTGACCAGCAGAAATTTCAGTGTTCAATCTAGCTTTGTCTGAAAGGGGGGCTAAGTTTTGTCACATGTTTTGAAATAGGGGTCATCTTTAAAATTTTGGGGATAGGACATAAGAAGTGAAGCAAAATTATAGCCAAATTTTAATACCAATATTGCAATCAAGATATATATACCTTTGATTACCTGATTGAACTTTCCTGTTTGTATTTTAGAGGGCAGGTGGCACAATTCAGCAGGCAAGGCTGAACACTGCGGACAATATGTTAAAATTATATGTCTGCTCTGCATTTTATCTGCATCAAGTGTTTAAGTTACATAATTGTTCTGGTGTGTGATCAGCACACTGAGTTTAAATTATGTGTTTGTTCTGCCATGTGATCTGCATAACATGTTTAACTTACATGATTGTTCCTGAGTGTGTTTATATCAAGCATCTGTTAACTGAAATTTTCAGCAACAAAATCATCTGTGCAAGTCAGTATCATTCAATACTTTACTTGTTTAAAGATTACGCCATCATGTAGCACCAAACTCACCTTTGATGTAGCTCTCTACACAGAACTCATGACTTTCTGGCTTGAGATGAATCACAATCTTGGTTCCCCTCTGTACACCCTCTGCTTCTGCTAGTTCAAAGGTACCAGTACTGAAAACAGGGAAACAGTCCAATCATGGTTATTTAGCCAATCAAAACAAAGCATCACATCACCACAATAAAAGATCAAAACAATGAATGACTTCCTTTTTTAAAGTCTGTCCCAACATGATATTTAATATGCCTCTCAAACCTGACCCTTTCCTTTCACCAGTTTATCTTTTGAAAAGGCCCAAGTAGTGCTGTATCGTTTACATAAGAAATAAATACTGCAAACGGAAACTGATGCTCCCTAAAATTGCACATTGCATTTCAATGCACATTGGTCAATATAAAATAGAGGTAGAAGCAAAACAGTAAAGATTTATTTTTTCACCAGTGATCTTGACCTTCAATCCAGTGACACCGAATTCCGCACAAAGTTAAAGGACCACCCTAGGTAACAACTTACAAAATGCAAAACACATCAGTTAATAACAAGAACTGCCACTGTCATGGCGTGAATACCCCCGCATACCACTTTGTCAGAATCATCAGTGGCCATTTAGAGCTCAAGGATAACTTCCCTGCCAAATCTGAGGCTACTAAGCCAGTGCATTGCTAAGTTATGTATTCTACATGCTTCAAATGTGAAAATGTCAAAATCAATACACTGCGGACAGGCATTCCTAAGCAATTGAGGGGAACAGCTTATTTTTTTGTCAAGGTCCCTGTGACCTTTGACCCAGTGACCTCAAAATCAACAGGGGTCACCTAATGGTCATGATCAACCTCCATGCCAAATATGAAAACTGTGGGTCAAAGGAATCTTAAGTTAATGGGCGAACAAACTTTTTAAGTCAAGGCCCCTGTGAACTTGACCTTGACCTTTGACCCAGTGTCCTCAAAATCAAAAGGGATCATCTACTAATCATGACTAACCTCCATGCCACATATGAAGAATGTGGGTCAACGGTTTCTTAAGTTATTGGGCGGACAAACTTTTTGAAGTCAAAGTCCCTGTAATCTTGACCTTTGACCCAGTGACCTCAAAATCAAAAAAGGTCATCTACTTATCACGACTAACCTCCATGCCAAATTTGGAGAGTGTGGGTCAAAGGAATCTAAAGTTATTGGGCAGACAAGCTTTTTGAAGTCCAGGCCCCTGTGACCTTGACCTTTGACCTGGTGACCTCAAAATCAATAGGGGTCATCTACTAATCATGACTAACCTCCATGCCAAATTTGGGGAGTCATGGTCAAAGGAATCTTAAGTTATTGGGCAGACAAGCTTTTTGAAGTCCAGGCCCCTGTGACCTTGACCTTTGACCTCAAAATCATTAGGGGTCATCTACTAATCATGACTAACCTCCATGCCAAATATGAAGATCAAAGGAATCTTAAGTTATTGGGTGGACAAGAAAAAACTGACGGACAGCCGGAAGGTCGGACAGCCGGACGGACAAGCTGATTCCAGTATACCCCCCTTACAACTTTGTTGTGCAGGGGTATAAATATTATAGGGCTGCATAACCAAATGTGTAAAACTCTATTGTTCAACACCTCTTTAACACCCCAGTTACACAGAGCCATCGGTGATTGATCGGTAGTTTTTTTAGCCAAATTATGGAGTGAACCGATGACAACGTATTTATCACCGACATCACCTATTGGTCACCTGTTTTCCACCTATCAACTGAAATTGGGGAAAGATAAGTTTCGTCGGTGAAAAATTACCGATTGGGATTTTTAAACACGTTTAAAATTCTCGATCGGTGAAAATATTTTAAAAATTACCGACGGCAACCTATATCACAAGATGTGCAAGCTCTTAATCACCGATATCGCCGATCGGACAAAGATAACCAAATATGAATCACCGGCCATATCTGACGGAAAATGTTTAACCACTGATGACTAGCTATCAAACACCAATTTATCAGCGTTACGCCCGATTTAGCTCCGATTTACAAACGATAAAAACCAAAAGTATTTCAGCATTTAATCATCGACCCATTCCCGTTTGAGTTTGCTTTCTGTCACCGATGGCCGTTTACACAGAAAACCAGAAATAAAATCACGCATGACAACCGATCATAATAGCGAGTAAATTTAAAATTAAATGACCGATTGGGGACCAGAGCTGCATCAGTACTAAGGGTGTAGTACTTAAGTACCAGTACCAGTACTTGGCAAATTATGCAGTACCATTACCAGTACCAGTACTAGATTGTAGCTCGGTACTGCAGTACCAGTACTTTTTTTGGTGAAGTAATTAAGTATCAGTACCATTACTTTTATATATTCATCAAAGTTTGAATAAATACAGTGTCAAACAAATAATTGCAAATATTATTCAGCAAAGAAATAAAATCATAATTTACTTTAAAGTTAACATAACATATTTACAACGTTATAGTTTTAACATACTTTTTACAAACAATATTTACAACATATATTCATGTCATATCTAATAGTTTAGTAACCAGTCAACTGTATAAATACAATGCAAACATCTTTTATTTAAAACACAACAGTCTTTTGTTGCCTTCCACACCTTCACACCTCTGTTCAATTTATACTTAAGTATAAGTAAATAACAACTTTTTATGGTGCTAACAATATCACTTATTTCACTTGAAATGGGATTATTTAGAAAAGAAGAAATTAATTAGTGTTTATTTTGCTCTTTTACTAGTAAATACAAAGTAATAAAATATTTAAATAAGGATATTTTAGGGTAAAGAGTTATTGAGTAATTTTAACTTAAAGTCTTTGGTGCTTTTTATGATGAATACTATGTTAACATTTGAAGGAATATTGCAGCAAATAATTATCTTTAGATTTGATAACTTGCTTTTTCACAAAAATAATATATAGTTAATGTAATTTACAGCTTTATTTTATGAGAAAAGTTGATGCTATTTTTAATTTTTATCAAAACCAAAAGTACTGGGTAATGCAGTAGCAGTACCACTTTTTAAGACAGTAATGCAGTACCAGTACCAGTAGTAGCAAAATTTTGTAAGAGTAATTCAGTATCAGTACCAGTACTTGCAAAATCACTGCAGTACGTACTGCAGTACCAGTACCAGTAATGCAGCTCGTTGGGGACCAACCGTCTGTGTAACTGGGCCCTAACACTGCACTTCCTCTCATTGTTTTTTTTTTTCACTGTGTAAAGTTTCCATGAAATATTATAGATAGTTTAGAAGTTATTCTATGGAAAATTTATTATAAAAATTTATTTCTAGAACCCTTTAAAGGGAGGGGGAAAATTTTAAAAGCTAAGACCCAAAAGGACATTTTCTTTGTAAAACCTACAAAAGGCCCAAGAATTTCTTTTTTTTCCCTATTTGCTTTAGTTAGTATCCTAAAAATCACCCCAAAAGGGAAATTTTTGGGTTAAAAATTTCTCCCAAAAGTTTTTTTAAAAACAAAAATTTTTGGACAATAAAAAAAAGATATGCATTATCAATCAAAAGCAAAAATTTGGCCAATATGAGTTTCGGTGAGCTAAATGAAAAAATTATATTGTAAAAAATTATTTTTAATTCCTATTAAAATTTTTTTTTAATTTGTTTTTCCAAATTTGTTTTTTTGAAAAAACTAAAATTTAAGGGAAAAATACTAAAGGATTTTAGGACTTTACCCAATCGGGAGGACCTTTGAAAACCCTGCGACCCTGGTTTTCCCATAAATTTACTGAAAAAACTTTCAACCTTTTTTCCCCTCCCCAGAATGATGGGGGTAAAAACCCACCCCAAACTGGCCCAATAATTTTTCTTGCAAACCCCAATTTTCAGAACTGTCCTTCTTTGGGAGTCTAAAAAAACCCCGGGGAAAAAAACCCCAAAAAAGAAAAGTCAAGAAAAAAACATGTTTTTGAGTAAAGCCTCCCAAAAGAAAAATTGAGTAAAGCCAGGACAAAAATTATAAATTTAAACCCTGCAAAAGAAAAAATGTTTAAATTTAAAACCCTTTGTAAAAGAAAATGTTTGGAGAAAGTCAGGAGATTAAGATTAGGTGAGAAAAAGAACATGATTGAGTAGTCAGGAAGAGCATGATTGAGTAAAGCCAGGAAAAGACCATGATTGAATGAAGCAATGAAAAGAATATGATTGAGTAAAGCCAGGAAAAGAACATGAATGAATAAAGCCAGGAAAAGAACATGATTGTTCTTCAAATTACCATGAAACAAATTTCATCCATTTACAATGTTTTGGTTTGATTGCCTCCCCTGGCTGTTTAATATAATTAAAATATGCAATGTTTGTTGACAATTACCTCCCTTGATCAAATATATTGAAATTGCTGCGCCATACCAACTCAACATACCATGATTTCAAATGTGAAAAAAATAATTACTGTAAACCTTTCAATAGAATATCATTCATTTGTTAAACTAAACTCCTACCTAAGCTTGTCTTATACACAGTTGTACTCTGTAATTCTAAACAAAACATAACTCCTTAGAGCTTCACAACAGGGTGTTTCTAAGCAACATACCTTAGATCCAGAATGAGCAATTGTTCCCAGATTTTTTACCATTTCTTCTCGTGTCATACCAATACCAGTGTCCTGAAAAATCAAAGTTTAACATTCATAAATTTGTCCCAGTAACAAATGGTTTACTTGTAAGTGATCTGTTAACCATCAATTACACAATTTCTGACATTCATCAGCATTTCCCAGTAATACATCTTTTAAAATTTATTCTGAAACTTAAATTACAAAACAGCAAATTTAACCATAACAGCTTTCATTCAGTCCAAAGCATATTGACAATATATCAATATGGAATATATCAATATGGGATAACAAAAATGGACAATAATAAATTTGTTCATCCATGTTTCACCTTTAAACATGTTTTCATGATTGCATTAAATTGCAATATACTCCTTATAAAACATTATCCGTATTGTTAATAAATGCCCTCTGTATTTTTATCCCTATTGTTAATAAATGCCCTCTGTATTTTTTTCTGTCTTAAAATGTGTAAATAAACACAACAGTACAAACAGTAATAATCTTTTAACTGATCAATTAGCAAAAAATACCAGAGTACCTGCTTCTGTTTATGCTTTTGGTTAATCCAAGTTTTCATGTTAATTATTCTTAAAAGATTTGAATAAAGGGGCTACATTTTAGTTTTCCACAGACAAGATGAGCAATCATAATATTTCCATTTATTCTCCAAAATAGACAAGCCTCAAAATTTTGTGGTTTTGTCACAAAAAAAAAAGAACAAAAAAAAAAAAAAAAAAAAAAAAAAAAAAAAAAAAAAAAAAAAAAAAAAAAAAAAAAAAATTTTCGTGGGTTATTCAATTTCTGGACTGTTTTACTTTATTCTTGCAAAAGGTAAAATGTAAATAATGAAATAATGAAATTTCTTCGGATCTTTAATTCGTGGATTGGACCTTTTCCACGAAAACCACAAGAGATTGTTCCTCACACCAAAAATAATGATGGGTGGCGGTATCTATACTGATGACACAGGCTAAATTAACACTTCTGGTTTCCCATAAGTTAAGGGCGTTAGTCAATGATTCTCATATTGCATTGACTATATGCTCTACCAACACTAAAAAATATCTAATGTTCATAACTTTTAATAAATGATAAACCTGAATAGTTGATTGTTTTCTTTGTCTCATCACCAGCAATATCTATTTCCAAGGGGAGGTCACTGTCCTCTATGTCACCATCAGCCATTTGCTTGTAACGAAGTTTTTCAAGAGCATCACTAGAGTTGGATATCAACTCTCTAATAAACACCTATAATTATAAAATTTAACACATGCTGTAATTTACTTCCGACTAGAGGTGCGTGGTTCAACCAGTATACCGGTAAACCACAGTCTGAGACATCTGCGGTACGTACCAGGGTACAGACCTGGAAAACCGGTACTTTTAGCTCTGAAATTATAAATTATTACACATGATTTCTATCTGAGACAACAGATGTGCCAAAGAAAACAACCGATTTGGCCAAGGGTCATGCATGATATTTCAATCTACAGGCTGAAAATACAACTGATTTTAACAGCATTTAAACCAATGACTTGAATCCCCCATCTGTAAATAATGAAAACCCTGTTACATCTGCTGCAATTTATTTACAACTAGCCGTACTAGAAAAAAAGAGATCAAAAAGATCTTATTATTCATAAAGTTTTTTAGTTTTAAGATTAATCAATACAATGGTCATTTTATGACTTGCCAATTTCATTGTAGAAGGACCTCCAATTACCCTTCCTTGCATAATCAAAGGCACAAGCAGACACCAAAGTAAAATCACCATTCAACTATATAATTTAGCTGAAAAGTTTGGCCACATGGAGTACTAACAAGTAGTTGATATTTATTTAATAATGTTACAGTATTTAATTTATCTAAATATATGCACAGTCATGCAATAATCTTCCCACTGCTTCAATGTACTGTACAACATATATACTTTTCAATGAGACATTCTGCAGCTATACATAAAAGTTAAAATGGTACATTTCTCAATGCCTTTACTTGTGGATGAAATGGGCACCTAAATAAAACAACCAACATTTCAAAAGATACCTCACATGTAATAAATTTTACAAACCTCTTTTTCACTGTACAGCGATCTTGCAACAATGTCCAACAGTTTACCTAGTCTTCTGCCTGGAAACTTTCAAGGGTTTGTCTGAGGGACCTAAATAAAGAAATTATATATAACAATTTAATACTTAAATAGCATTTTCCTCAAAAATATAATTTTCAAACTTTACAAAACTAACATCAAGTCCAGTGCTTTAGTTTACTATTTGTAGAGATATTAAAAAGTCAAGTTTACCCCTCTTACTTTACAAATCCCAATTAGTTCAAATTCTTCTTTAACCCTTTAACATCTGAATGGATTTTACCTAGCCCCTTGGGAAATTTTGGGATCCAGGTCCATTCCTAAGATTCAGGGATTTCAATATTCTAATTATACAATTTTAGGCCTACTTAAAAATTTGCTGTCAGTTGGAAAATTATTACAATACTCATGTATACAATTTTTTTAAATAAAAATTTATTGTTATAACATTAAAAAGTAATTATATATAAAGCAGTAATTCAGTGGGCTTTTCTTACTTATTGGGAACAGGTCTTAGCCTCTTGGTATTGGGAAAAAATTATCATTAAAATTGCTAATTTGGGAATTAAAGAAGATGGGGTAAGTTTGGAAATTTTTATATTCCTCTGTTTACACAAGGTGAAAAATCTCTGGTATTATATAACTGATAAGTTTTCACAAACCTATGTCTGAGGAAACTCTTGTTCTTTAGATTAATCTAATTTAGACAAATATTTCATGCATCACTGTGGCCTTGACCGTAATGACCTTAAAAGTCTACAGGAATCTTCTACCGCCATGTTTTCTACCCCAAAGTTTGATAACCTTGGACTCATTACTTTCTAAAATTTAATTGATATGACAAGGAATCTACACAGTCAGTGTGACCTTGACTTTTGACCTTTAACCTGAAAATCACTTGGAGACATCTACTGACCTCATTCCTTCTGAATTGATTGAAAGGGCAATGATTTTTACATAAAGCGACCTTGACTTACTGAGCTGAAAATCAGTAGTGGAGATTTATCTCCACACTAAATCTGGTGGAATATTTCAGTCTTCCATACTTATTTTAACAACACTTGAAAATAGTTCACAGATTTAGTGTGGAAGATAAATTCTCCACTACTGATTTTTCAGCTCAGTAAGTCAAGGTCGCTTATGGAAAAACAGCCCTCAACATCAGGAAAAATCAGAATACCAACATTAAAAGGGCTGGCTAGACTGCACCTTGGTCTAAACTGGTGCCAATAGGTTAACTGATTGACAGAAACTGACTGGCAGAGGATTCTGCAGTAGCTAGAAATTTTACCAGGGCTATATTTCTTTTGGGCTTATGAAAATCATAGAACAAAAATTTGCAACACTTCTTAAGAGCCCGTTGAGGAAAGAAATTTAAATAAAAGAATAAAACTGGCAAGAACCTTTAGATCTTTCTGTATTTTTGATAATAGTATGAAAGTCATCTTCCACTGATTCTTCATTTGCTGTTTCTTCTACAGTCCATAGAGCAGAACTGTTGTTGAAATCCCTTTTGTTTGTTGCCCATCGGGGAACCACACTGGTATATGGGGATCTTTTTTCCAGGTTATCTGGGAAAAATTATATTGTAAATTTGTAGTTTAAAGAAAAGGGAAAGCAGAAGTTAAAAATTCAAGTGGTAGTGGTCTTCGCCTCTTTAAAATAAAAAGGTCAACATTACGTAATCTTAAATTTTAGTTTGGTAAAAAGAAAGATGCAACTGCATCCAGAAAAAAATCATGGCTCTAGCCTGGGATTTGAACTTTGTGACCATAAGTTCAAAACAAAGTAACCAATATACATTGTAACAAAGCCCAGAGACTGAGGCAAGCATAAAGTTGTGTCAAATTGGTTGCACTATTTTGATTTAGTTAATGAAAGGTAATTGTGTGCAACTCAACCTTAACACAACCTGCTCGGAAAAAAACGCGTTGCTTCAAGGAGGACAGAAAACTTATTTTCAAAAAATCAATATATAGTTGTTTCTTATCACTCAATTCTACACATTGTGCGGTTCTTTTTTACATCTGAATCAGAATTTCAATTTACGGGATGACTAATACAAGAAAATCTAAACAAAAAAATGGTTGAATCAAATTTAAAAGACATGGCGTCTGCAAATTTTAATTCCAGTGATCATTTTTTTTTTAAATATTAATTATTTTTTTTAAAAATTCGCTGGCAGTTGACAAGGCCAATGGAAGGTATGGGGGGAGTGACACGAAATACCCAAATATAATGCCCCCAAATATTGGCCAACAAATATACCACATAAATAAATTTAAAGTAAAATATTGCTAAACTAATTTCTGTTATGACTATATCTAATGGCGGTAAAATATGTGATTTCACCCGTGACAAGTAAAATTCAGAAACGTGGCACTGTTGCGTGAAGATTTTGTATTTGTGATTCATAAATTAGTTTAGACAAATTTTACTCAAAGTCTATATATGTGTAATACGGGGAAGTCAAAGACCGGGCCCGCGAAGCGGGTTTCCGGGCTTTGGCTTGCCCCGGCTATAGACACTACACGTGTATACTTAAAAAGAAAATCCAAATAAAACAATTAAAACAATATAATATATAGAATTCTATACCTGTCAACGAAATTTTTCAAGTGTCAGTTCTAGTCGGCGCGGGCCGCCATTTTAACAATGTAACGTCAATGATAATAGGAGACGGGGTATTCCGATAACGTACACAAATCTCAAACTTTTGGATAAATAATAATCGTCGAGTGTTCCGATGTAAAACGGAAGCACTTTGCATGTAATTACGAATGACACCTTTAAAATGGAAAGGGAATGAAAGGAATATTTTAACCGATTTCCCCGTTCAAATAGAACTTTCCTAAATTTCATATTTTTTGGTATATTTGGGTAAATTTCCCTGCCGCCCGGTAATATTGGCACCATCGCATCCCAAAACCCTCATATCCCGAAAACAGCAAACTACATATTAATGAACAAGATAAACTAATGATAGCGCCTACACATAAATTACCCCCATAAATGTACCCATTTACTGCATACCAAGACCATTTGGATAATATATGGCATTCATACCATTACGATGGCGCAGCTGTCATGGTCACCATAAAACGATAAAACAAGACCAATTTAAACAGCTGATCAAGGTCATGTCCATTATCCCGGACCTTTATCCCGTTAACAAAATTAAGCCGATTTGCAACGTACAAAACAACATTTGGATAAAATTTCCAGTTAACATACCACGTGCAGCGTTGAGTTAAAATATACTTTTTCCTTTTGAAAACGCCCCCGCCAGTCAATAACATTCTTACAACTTGTGAAACCAAAATACTGTTTAATTACAAGTAGGTCGTCTCAACAATACACGTTCTCATGGAGGCCTGACATTTTGTCGGAATAGGTTGAATACGACTAAAGGGCCGCTGACTTTAGTGTATAACACTGAACACCACCTAAATATTTTCCTTCTATAACATGAAACATATTTCCCAATA